AAATTGATAATCAAACATTCATTTTCAAAAGTAAAAACTTAAGTGCAACTCAATTAAAAACAAAAACAAAAAATGATTTTGACCACTTATTAAAACAAATTTGTACAAAAAGTGAATTCAATTCACAATATCAGTTAATTAATATGATGAATAATGAACTTAACAATGAAGATTTAAATAAAATTCTTTTCCTAAACACAAATCAATATTCAAATTGTGAATGGTTGATATATTTGTTTTTTTCATCTTACGACTTTAATTTATTATTTGTATTATTCTATTTTTTTTTCTTTCTGAAGGACAATAATCAATCAAAGTATAATTGACGTAAATCGTTATCAAGCTACAGATTATATTTTTAAAAATTTTTATCATGATGAATCAATAATTGAACATCATTTTGATTTAATTGAAAGAAAATCAAATGATCATATAAAACAAATTTTAAAGAAATATTTTCCTAATTCTTGTCAAATAACAAATATAATAACTCTTCGTATGTTAATACTTATTTCACAAGATAATTTAACTATACAATGTATCTTGAATCGAAATAACAGTTTAAAATATCGTGCTATTGCATTTCGTTTTCTTAATAATGAAAAAAAATTTTTTAAAGATTTTCAAAATATATTAATCAATGAAGAAGAATCAAGTGAAATGCGTATACTTTGTTTTCAAACAATATATTTATCTCTTAATATATCTGAAATAAATAATTTAATTGAAAATGTTAAATCAAATCAACTTCGTTTTTATATTAAATCTTTATTTAAACAAAGTTCAATATGGTTAGCAAATTCTGGTTCATATAAATTTCCATTTGGAAAAATGAATATTATATTTGATGAAAATTTATTATTCTATTTTCCAAATATGATTCAATTAGAACTTGGAAATAATACTGATATTGATTTCTATTTTATTAGAAATAATCAACAAAATATAGTATGAATTTTTTCTTTTCACTTTTAGTTTGACTCTTCTTTATGAATATAAGTTTTCTTTTTCTTTATTTGTTAATAGCAATACGAAATTTTATTAATATTTGATAGAAAAAATATTATGCGGTTTTCAACAATTAAGGATTTTTTTAATTGGATAAATAATGATCGATTATTTGAAATGAAAACACTTGATGAATTTTGTTTAAAAATAAATTTAAAAACTGATTTTAATCTTAAATGGCTTACTGGTTATTTTAATCAATTTGATAATTTTTTTAAAAAGTAAATATATATTTTAAAAAAATTAAAATAAATACATGATTGAAATACTTTTAGCAACAACTCTTACTAAACAATAGATACATTTATTAGATTAAGACAAGTTTTATGAGAATTGAATGGATTTTGAATATTCTTATTATAGACTTCAATCAGTACAAAGAGTAACTCCCATCAATTTTAATAGAATGTCTGTGAAAATTAAGTTATTAGGGTATGGGTATGCAAAAAAAAGATTTTTGGTATTTTTATAATATTTTCTTAAATCATAAAAAGATCTATAATCTTTACATCTATCTAGATTAAAAATCTACTTCGAAATAGATTTGTGTGAACTCGACAAATTTTTATTTCCTTTGATGGTGAAGTCATAAATGTTGGGAAAGCAAAATTCGACTCTAACTGCACGCTTTATAGAGTAGGGCGCACTCAAACACTTTTCTTCTACCATTAGATTGCTAGATCTTAGTAGTTCTTCACGACTTTTGCACATGCTCTCATATTTTTTTCTGCCTCCGACTATCAATAATAATATATATAATTTGAATAGTTCGTCTTCTCTTAATTTCAATCTTCAAATGAGAATCTTATAGAAAATATCGAGTCTAAACTAGAATCAAAACATCTCACCGCCTACGGTGATTTCATATATTAATTATAAATTCTTTTTGTTTCATAGATCAACAGCTGGTATTGTTCTAAAAATTCAGCATGGATTAGGTGAGATCATGACTGGATATAAAATAAGTTTTAGTTTTGAATCTAATTTTAAAATTAATATTCATCAACATGAACATTTAACTTCATACATTTGGCGTTCAATACAAAAAGAAAATATTCTTTTTAAAATCGAGTATGAATATAATTTTCTTATTAAATACAACTTTTCTTTTTTTTCTTTTATAATCTATTTAATCAATAGACAAACAATAAAGCCATTAGTGAATTACAAACAAATCGTATCAAAAAAGACTGTTTTATCATCAACAGTTAAAGATTTTTGCTATATAATTCCACATTTTGATTCAAAAATTTGTTTATCATTCATTTTTGAACGTTTATGGCCTTCATCAATTGCAGTAAGATTTTTTGATTTCATTAAAAGAATTTTGTAAAAACTCACATATAAAATTTGAAGGAAATAGTGAGTATAAGTTGTAAGTTAAAGCTTTGCGACTCTTCCTTTCATCTTTACACACCTTAGCAACTAATATTAAAGATTATTGAATATGTTTTCATGGCAATCACAGATGCTCTAGCAAAAAGAAGAAAATTTTCAAAGTGAACAACATTGATTGAAATCTTAATATGAAAGAAAAAAGAAGTAAAGGAAAGAATGTAGTATTGAGGTACTAATATTCATAGGCGAGGCAAATAGCAGTTTCTAGAGAAAGTAATAAGTTTTTTTTAATGAGATGTTTCAGTTCAAGTCTAACATTAATCACTTTATTTATTATCAAAATATTCTTTTTCTAAATACAAATTCTTCTACAGTAGTATCTAAATCCGTTTCAAAGCAACGTTTACTATAAACTTAAGATTAACACTTACACTCATATCATCAAGATAGTAGCACTAATGTTGTATTATCAGTTTCACTAGATAGAACTGTTTTATTTATTCTGTATTTTTTGTGAAATAATAAGAAATTTTTCTTCGTTCAAATATTTAGCTAATCAATTAAATACTAATCACAAAGTTGTCAAAGATCGAAAAAATAAATAAAACAGAGTAGACTAATAGATATTTCCTTTTCATTGTGAACAAAGAAGATAAAAGAAGCAGTCTTTGATTTTTCTACAATTTTGACAATATTAATACATCGAATTTCAGCTCCTTTAATAAAGACAAATATCAGATCTATGTGATAAAAGTACAACTATACAGGTAGAATAAAACAAATTTCTAGCACTCTTTAACAATCTTTTCATATAAACTCTGAGAGTAGAGAAATACCTAGAAAAGCAGTAGTTTCTTTTTGCGCCTCCGAATTTTTTCAAGGGAAGCAATTGTACTCTATGTCT